TTTCTTTCATATTGCTTGTTATCAATAATTTGCTAACAGGATAGTCAAAAAATATTTCCTTTTCTTTTCTAACAAGAGCTGCTGGCTGCAATTCTGTTTTCTCAGCACATCACGCTCGCACTCTCAACACCGCCTTCCCCACGAGGTTGGCTCCTCTCCACTATTGTCCCAGTGTCACTCCCCCTAGCCCACCCCCCAGTCTCCTGTCCCCGCAGCCCACACCCCATTCCCTGTCCCCGCCAGGAGGGTAAGCTCAGCTCTGCAGGCCAGCTCTCAGATAGCTCCCTTCTTCCTTTCATTTTTTACGGTTGTGATTTGGGGGCCACATCTGGCTGTGCTCCAGGCTTACCCCGGCTCTGTGCTCGGTATCTCTCCTTGGCAAGGCACAGGGGACCAGATGGGCTGCTGGGGACTGAACCCGGGTGGGCCAATGTGCAAGACAAATACCCTCCCTGCTGCGCTATGGCTCCAGCCCCTCTCTTCTGTCATTATATGTAGTTGGTGAAGGGCCACTGCTCTCACGATACATTTAAAATTATCCTTGGGATGGAGAGAGATAAAAGGGCTGGAGCGCATGCCTTGCATGCAGGAGGCCGGGCACAGTGCCACGTATTGTCTGGTCGCTGAATTGCCGCCAAGTGCATCGCCAAGACCATAAGCCAAGAACTGACTCTAAATACTACCTAGTCCCAAACCAAGTAGCAGTGAGATTAAATAAAATAACGTCCTCCTCAAAGCTGTATTTTCAGATACACTGGGAGGGTGTGTGTGAGTGTGTGAGTTTGTGTGTGTGTGCGCGTGTGTGTGTACAGAGAAAGTATCACATCTTTCTTGTGTTCAGATTCTTTTTCCATTTTCCTAATTTCTGTTTACTGTGCCAGCAACTAACCAGCTAGTCATGCAGACAGAACCTAATTATAAAGTCCCTCGCCTGCTGTCCTCTCAGAGAAGGGAAAGCCAAATTCTCATTATCCTTTTGCCTTTTTCTGATTGGGACTGTATTCTTTGGTTTTGTGGTGGTGGTGGTGATGGTGTGTTTTTTGTTTGTTTGTTTGGTTGGTTAGTTTGGGGGCCCCACTGGCTGTGCTCAGGGCTTATTCCTGGTTCTACACTCAGGAATCACTCCCAGTGGGCTTGGGGAAGCTTATGCAGGACCAGGGATTGCACCGGGTCTGCCATGAGCAAGGCAAGAATCCTCCCCGCTGTAGTCTTGCTCCAGCCCTGTAACTTAGGTGTTTTAGATGGCTATTCTAGGGGAGAACAACGATCTCCCAAGGAATAAGGATAAAATATTAGGATGCGGGCTGGAGTGATAGTATGGTTGGTAAGGCGCTTGCTTTGCACATGGTTGACCAGGGTTCGATCCCCAGCATTTCATATGGTCCCTCAAGCACTGCCAGGAGTGATTCCTGAGTGGAGAATCAGGAGTAACCCCTGGGCATAGTCAGGTGTGGTTCAAAAACTAAAAAAAAATTTTTTAAAAGAATTAGGATGCATGTATGCACATTGTGTCATGTGCAATTATTAGAGAGAGAGCAGAGGGATCTGAAGGTCAGGGAGCTAGCCCAAGGGCTGGAGTCAAATGTTGTGCATGTACAAGACTGCATTTTGTTTTATTTGGGGGGAGGCATACCTGGCGGTGCTCAAGGATTACTCCGAGCTCTTTGCTCAGGAATCACTCCTGGCAGTGCTCAGAAGGCCTTATGGGGTGCTGGAAATCGAACCCAGGTTGACTGTGTGCAAGACAATCACCCTACCCACTGTGCTATTGCTCTGGCCCCATGAGGCTTCATATTGGATCCTTAAAATAGTTCAGCACCCTGAGCACTGCCAGGTGTGTCTCTCTGACCAATCCCAGAGACAGCCCTGGTGGTGTCCACACTCTGCATTATTGGAGGCGAGCACAGCCAAAAGGGATACACTTGAGTGTGTGCAGGGGTTCACCTGAAGACTATTTGGTAAGCAAAAAAATCAAAGAATAACCTAGTGTTCTGGTGTGACATAAGGCACTAAGCCATATGTGTGTGTGTGCGCACACAAGATATGCACCAAAAGTGTGTATCTGGGGTCGGAGCAACAGTACAATGGGTAGGTCATTTGCCTTACACGCATCCAGCCTGGGTTCATTCATCTCTAGCATCCCATATGGTCCTCTGAGCACCACCAGGTATGACCCAAAAAGAAAAAAACATTGTGTATCAGACAAGCAATATAAAAAAATTAGTATCAGCATGCTATGGGGGCAGACTTACGGGGTGGTGGGAAAATTGGAGATAGTGGTGATGGGATTGGTGTTGGAATATTGAATGCCTGTAACAAATCATCATGGACAACTTTGTATACCATAGTGTTTACAAAGTGTGGGGGAAAAGTTTTTTAATTTACATATGTAGGCCTTACCTGGGGCTGGAGCGATAGCACAGCGGTAGGGCGTTTGCCTTGCACGCAGCCAACATGGCCGACCCGAGTTCGATTTCTCCGCCCCTCTCCGGGAGCCCGGCAAGCTACCGAGAGTATCTCGCCCGCACGGCAGGGCCTGGCAAGCTCCCCGTGACGTATTCGATATGCCAGACACAGTAACAACAAAGTCTCCAATGGAGACGTTACTGAGCCCGCTCGAGCAAATCGATGATCAATGGGAGGGCCTTTTTTACCTAGGCCTTACCTATTCCAGGGCTGGAGCGATAGCACAGCGGGTAGGGCGTTCGCCTTACACACGGCCAACATGGCCGACCCGAGTTCGATTCCTCCGCCCCTCTTGGAGAGCCCGGCAAGCTACCGAGAGTATTCGATATGCCAGACACAGTAACAACAAAGTCTCCAATGGAGACGTTACTGGGCCCACTCGAGCAAATCGACGATCAACGGGAGGGCCTTTACCTTTACCTTTTACCTTGTTATGTGCTAAGTGGGCAGATTGGGATTGGGAGGGGAACTGGGGATACTGCTGGAGGGAAGGTCACACTGGTGGTGCTGGAACACTAAATGCTTGAAACAACTGTATAACAAACAACTTTGTAAATCAGTGTTTTTAATAAAAAATGATTTTTAAAAAAATGTATATCAGGGCCAGAGAGATAGTACAGTGGGTAGAGACCTGCAGTCACCTGGAGTCTTAGTAGGAACACTTTCCTTACATGGACCGGGTTCAAGTCCCAGCAACCCAGAGGATTCCCTGAGTGATCCCTGAGCACAAAGGCAGGAGTCAACCTTGAACACTGGATGTGACACCCAAAAAAAAATTAAATTATATTTAAAAGCTAAAGTGTTCCGGGCTGGAGCGATAGATAGTACAGCAGATAGGGCGTTTGCCTTGCATATGGCCGACCTGGGTTAGATCCCATATGGTCCCCTGAGCACCGCCAGGAGTAATTCCTGAATGCAGAGCCAGGAGTAACCCCTGAGCATCACCAGGTGTGATCCACAGAGCAAAAAGAAATTGAAAAATAAAGTGTCTTATCAGTTTCATGAATATGTGTGTGGTGCCTTCATCTCTCATTACAAAGGCAGAACAGTGGGCTGGAGCGATAAGACAGCACTTGCCTTGCACGAGGCTGACCGGGTTCCATCCCAGCATCCCATAAGGTTCCCTGGGCTTCACTGGGGTGTGGCCCAAAACAAAACAAAAAGCAGAACACTTAGCAGAAGAGTGAGCTAAATGTGAATCAGATATCTGGCAAGCATCTCAAAGCACTGAGGAACAGCCCCAACTAGTGAGAAACAAGAATGAGTGTAAAACACTCCCTCTCTTTTGACAGGAGAGGTTGGGGACATTTCCTATAACATGGCAGCCATTCTTTATGCCCTGTCATGCTCGCTTTTCCTTATTAGACCATAAAAATCTGTGATTCAGGGGCCGAATCAATAGTACAGCAGGTTGGGCACTTGCCTTGCATGTGACTGACCCAGGTTCAATCCTCAGCATCTCCTGGGTCCCCTGAACCCCGTCAGGAATGATCCTTTTTAAAAAATTTTTATATTTTTTATTGAATCATCATGAGAACAGTTACAAAGCTTTCAGGTTTAAGTGCAGAGCCAGAAGTAACTCCTGAGCATTGCTGGGTATGCCCCCCCACAAAAAAAAAGCAGGAAAAAAAATCTGCGATACAGTGAAAGAATCGAACATTTTTTGGGGGTCTCCAGTGAAATTTAATGTATGTATAAGACAGTGTTCTTTGTTACCTTTTTAATAAAATACTTTTGGCGGGTTACTCCTGGAGGTGCTCGGGGGATCTTATGGGATGCTGGGGATTGAACCCGGGTAGGCTATATGCAAGTCAAATGCCCTATCCGCTATACTATATTTCTGACTTCTTAAATACTTATTTTAACATTATTTGGTATGGGGAATTAGGCCACTCCCAGTGTTGCTCAGGGCTTATTCCTTGCTCTGTGGTCAGGTGGCCCACAGGGACCATACTGGGTCCCAGGGATCGAACCTCGGTTGGCTAAGGCCAAGGCAGCCACTTTAATCCCTGTGCTGTCTCTCTGGCCCTGTTTCTTTTTTTTTTTACTCCAGTGTGTGGTCACTGTTTAGAACATTGATCTTCTAACCCAATCTCACAGGTACATGTTCCTACTTTCGCCTGCTTTTTATAGCAGAATTTTATTCACAGCAGTAAATAGTTTTTAAGTATGAGAGAGTCACTGTAGTGATTCTTTCTGCGACAAATACGAAGGTAGAATCTTTTTCTTGTTTTCTTTTTTAATTATTTTTGGTTGGGGGCCATACCTGGCTGTGCTCAGGGCTTACTTCTGATCTGTGCTCAGGGATCACTCCTGGCAGGCTGGGATACCAGATGGGGTGCCAGAGATTGCACCTGGGCTGGCTCGGTGGAAGGCAAATGTTCTAGCCCCTGTACTATTTCTGAGCATTGCCAGGTGTGACCCATAAAAAAGCCCAAAAAAAGAAAGTGAAGCCTCCCAGAAAGGGAAATTTGCAGACACCTTTAACCAAGGCTGGTGCCACTAGCTGAAGAGTCGTGTGTCATTCGTTGCAGGGGATGGTGGTATTTGAGGATCTGGCTGTGACCTTCACCTGTGAAGAGTGGCAGATCTTGGATGAGGCACAGAGGACCCTGTACCGGGATGTGATGCTGGAGACCTACAGTCACCTGGTGTCACTGGGTGAGTGACACTCTGGTGTTGCCTACAGAGGTTTATACCACTTAGTTCATAGACCAATTAAATAACAAAGTCAGTGCTATGGGGTTTCAGACAAGAAGGATGTGGCCGTTGGCCACTATAATCAGACATTCAAGTTGCCCCTTCAGTAACCAACTCCTAAAAACTGTGCCGAGGTCATTCTACAATCACAGGACCCTAAGACACTTTGGCCAAGTGTCTATATGCATTTTCTCATCTGCAGGACAATCCATCACTAAACCGGAAGTGATCGTCAAGTTGGAGCAGAGAGCAGAGGCGTGGGTGGCCGATGCCCCGAAGCAGAGCCTCTCAGGTCAGTTGGTCCACACCAGGCAGGGAAGCAGGCAAAGGCCGCTGGTTGTCACCATTTTGTTCCCCTGCAGAAGTGACTGCAAATGCAAGTTCTCGTGTGTTGTTCAGCCTCAATTTTGGCTCTGAGTTGAAAATCTCAGACTTCCTTAACGGCTGTAGATTCTCCAAATGCAATGCCTACCCAGCTTCTGCAAACTTTTATTACCTTAGTAACCCTAATTTCACAATTACAGTGTCCTTCGTTCTCATAGAATCTTTTCTTTCAAGGATTGTTTGTAAATTAATTAATGTAACATTTTTTTTGTTGGGAGCTACACCTAGCAGCCCAGCAATGCTCAGGGCTTATTCTTGGCTCTGAGCTCAGGGATTTCTCCTAGTGAGGCTCAGGGGAACCATCTAAAGTGTTGGGGATCAAACCCAGGTCAGGCACATGCAAGAAAAGTACCTTACTCGCGGTACTATCTCTCCAGCCCCTACTCATGTAACATGTTGATGGGGGCATTTTGATAAAATGGCTCTGGGTTCAATAGGAATAAAAATAAACATCCCCATAAGCAGTTGTTTGTATATATAGAGAGAAATGAAACAAATGAACATAGCGAAATCTCAAAAAGTTTTCACCAAGAGAGAAAGAAAGCTGAAAGGAATTATTTTAGGTAAACAGAGAAATTCTCAGGGACCTGGAGAGATGGTGCAGTGAGTGAGGCTCAGGTCAACCTTGCATGTGGCTGACCTGAGCTCCATCCCCAGCATCCCTTATGCTTCCCCAGAACCCGCCAGGAATGATTGCTGAGTGCAGAGCCAGGAGTCGCCCCTGAGCACCATTACGTATAGCCTCAAAACAAAGAAAAACAGAAATAAAAACAAAATAGAAAAACTCTCAGGAGTACCATTGGGAACATGCTCAGAAAAGTGCTCTCGGGGCATTAATTGATGAAGTTAAAGATGACTGTTGAATGTAGAGACACATAATTCTTGGTCCAATCACACCTGAAGCTGAGCATCAGCAACACAGCGGGGAGGCCAAAATCGTTAACTTTTGTGTTGATAAAGTGGTGACTTGGGATGATTATCTTAAGGACAGAAAAAGAGGTTTTGGGCTGGTACTATAAAACACAACATAAGAAATTGTGAGTACCTGGCTAGAGCAATAGTATAGCAAGTAGGACTCTTGCCTGGCACAGGACTGACCCGGGTTCAGTCACTAGCCCCACATATCCTGAGGTAAATCGTGAGCACTCCAGGTGGGACCCAAAATTCAAAAAAATAAATTAATACACATTTACTTGGAATGAGGATACTTCTTTATATTTACACTCTAACTCCACAAGAATGTTTCATGCTTATAACATGATTTTTTTTCTGTCTGGTTTTAGATTTTCACCGTGTGAATGACATGATCGAGAACAACCAGGAAAATCAATATAGGCACTTTTGGCCAAGTATCATCACTGACAGGAAAACAGCGATAGAGGATAGAATGGTCTTTGAAAATGCTTTTGATTTTAGCTCGATCTATGTTCCAAAACCAATGATCAATAATGGAAACTGTCCTGTCCTCATGCCTGAGGCGTATAATGTATGTGAGAACATGTTTCTGACCATTGACCCTGATGAGTTGTATCCTGTACAGAACCATGAGGTTCACACGACTATCTACAATAATATTTTTACTCTCCCTGAGTATCCAGAGATACACACAGGTGTAGAACCTCACGAATGTCAAAAGACCAGTCAGTTTTCAACCCTCAACAGACATCAACGCACACACATGAGGGAGAAAGTTAAGTACATATGTTCAGAATGTGGGAAAACTTTATCCCAGAGACGAGGACTCCTTCAGCACCAGAGAATTCACACAGGTGAGAAGCCCTATGAGTGCAAAGAGTGTAGCAAGACTTTCTACCGGAAGTCAGACCTCACGGTCCACCAGAGAATTCACACAGGAGAGAAACCCTATGAGTGCAAAGAGTGTAGTAAAACTTTCTCCTGGAAGAAAGGGCTTATTTTACATCTCAGAGCTCACACGGGAGAGAGACCGTATCTATGTAAAGTATGTGGGAAAACTTTCTCTTCAAATTCAGCTCTCTCTGTACACCAGAGATTTCACACCAGTGATAAACGTTATGAATGTAACGAGTGTGGGAAAACTTTCTTCTCCAAGTCCTACCTCAGTGTGCACCGGAGAATTCACACAGGAGAGAAACCATTCGAGTGCACTGAGTGTAGGAAAACTTTCACCTGTAAGGCGTACCTCACTGTTCACCAGAGGATCCACACGGGAGAGAAACCCTATGAATGCAAAGTGTGTAGGAAAGCTTTCTCCTGGAAGAAAGGGCTGATTTTACATCATAGAGCACACACAGGAGAGAAACCCTATGAGTGTACAGAATGTAGGAAAGCTTTCTACCGGAAGTCTGACCTCACTGTACATCAGCGAATTCACACAGGGGAGAAACCCTATGAATGCAAAGAATGTAGCAAAACTTTCTCCCGGAAATCATCCCTCATTGCGCATAACAGAACACACACAGGGGAGAAACCCTTTGAGTGCAAGGAGTGTAGGAAAACCTTCACAGGGAAATCCAACTACATTGTACACCAGCGAATTCACACAGGAGAGAAGCCCTATGAGTGTAAAGTATGTAGGAAAACGTTCTCCTGTAAGGCATACCTCAACATACATCAGAGAATCCATGCAGGAGAAAAACCCTATCAGTGTCAAGAATGTGGAAAAGCGTTTTCCTGGAAGTCAGACCTTATTGTGCACCAGAGAATTCACACAGGAGAGAGACCGTATGAATGTACAGAATGCCGGAGAACATTCTCCTGTAATTCATACCTGACTGTGCATCGAAGGAGTCACAAAGTAGAGAAAACCGTGTGAGTCTTAATGTTGAGAAACTTCTTATGGAAGTTTTCCATCATGCACATCAGACAAATCGCACAGGAGAGAAACCCTATGAATGTAAGAAACACTTTCACCCAGAAGTTAATTCTCAAAAGACCGAGTAATTAACACAGGGGTTTTAAATGAGATTGCATAAACAGAGCATGTTTTCACCAAAACTCTTTTCAGCTGGGCTTCCCTTTCCACCTCCCTTTGCTATATAGAACTTCTTGCTTCTTTATTTCTATTCTGTATTTGAAAAAAAAATAGCCCAATTCAAAAGGCTTCTTCCCCTCTAGTTTTTTCTAGGATATTCACTTCTAATTGTTTCATTTAAGTGTTAATGCATTTTATTATTTTACATATATACATATATGTATGTGTGCTTTTTATTGTATTTCTTTTTGAGGGTTGATAACTTTCTCCTTTTTTGTACCAACTCTTATCATTTTATTCCTCTCTATTATATATTTGAAGCTATCATATTTTAAGGAATATTTCATCTTAAAATAACTTCAGTAGGATTCATAAGCTGTACATAGTGATTCCATCTCTCAAAATAAATGTTTTGACATTAGAGTTCACCTTCTATTGCAGACCCATGGAGAGACTTTTGTGGCGATGGTCTTTATACATTTTCTTTTTTTTTATATTGTGTTAGAAGTGGTTTGACTGCCATTACAGTATTACAATATACTGTGTTTATCTGTGTATTTATTGTTCATTTTGGTTAGGAAATATATATATATATATATATATATATACAATGCAGTATTTCTTCCTACTAACTCATGCAAGTTGGTAAATCAGTCTCCAAAGGAACGTAAGATGTACTCCATGGTTATAATTTAACATGATGGGGCCAGGGAGAGCTAGTGCAGGGGTAAGATGCTTTCATTGCACAGCACCAACCTAGGTTCAATCCCCCACATCCTAGATGGACTCCAAGGAATGCCAGGAGTGATCCCTGAGTGAAGAGCTCTGAGTAAACCCTGAGCACTGCTAAGTGGCCCCAAAGCAAAAAAAAATTGTGCAGGTAATAGATATACCTTAATGGATTTAGCACACTCATTGTGTGCTGGAGGCTTGTGTTCAATCCCCAGCACCACATAGTCCCTTGAGCACCTCCAGAAATAACACCTGAGCACTGAGCCAGGAGTAGACTCTGAGCACTACTGGTTGTGGCCCTAAATTTTTTTTTAATTTTTAAACCAGGGACCAGAGTGATAACACAGTAGGGAGGACATTTGCCTGTACGCAGCTGACCTGGGTTCAATCCCCAGTATCCCATATGGCCCCCCAAGCACCACCAGATGTGATTCCTGAGCACAGTACCAGGAGTAATCCCTGAGCATTGCCGGGTGTGACCCAAAAACTAAAGGAAAAAGAAGAAAAATTCTAAGTCAAGGAACTGGAGTGATAGTGTGTGGATAGGGCATTTGCCTTGCACGCGGCCTACCCAGGTTCTATTCCCAGCATCCCATATGGTCCCCTGAGCACCATCGGGAGTAATTCCTGAGTACAAGAGCCAGGAGTAACCCCTAAGCATCAACAGGGATGGCTCAAAAAGAAAAAAGAATGTAAGCCAAGGAGATAGCTCCGTGGGGAGAGCTTGGTTAAATGAGGCCGGGTTTATTCCCAACACTGCAAAATCTATACATTAAAACTCTTGGGCTGGAGCAATAGCACAACGGGTAGGGCGTTTGCCTTACACGCGGCCAACCCGGGTTCGATTCTCAGCATCCCATATGGTCCCCTGAGCCCTGCCAGGGGTAATTCCTGAGTGCAGAGCCAGCCCAGGAGTAACCCCTGTGCATCGCTGGACGTGACCCATAAAGCAAAAAAAAAAAAAAAACCTTAAAATTATTCTTTGCCTGGCTATGTTTACTTCTGGCTTTCCACTCAGGGATCACTCTAGGAGGTTCTCAGGGGACCATACATAGGTAGAGCTCAGAGGACCATATGGGATGTTGAGGAACAAACCTGGATTGGCTGCATAAAAGGCAAGTGCCTTGCCTGCTCCTATCTCTTGAGCCAGAAAACCATTCATTCATTTATATACCTTCTATTTAGTACACTTGAGGTCATAGTATCCTTGGTTTTTGTGGGAATTTTTGGTGTTTGGGCTGCAATTGGTGATACTCAGGCAGCCCCCGGTTCTATGCTCCCAGGATCAAACCTGGGCCGGCCATGTGCAAAGTAAGCATACTGCCTGCTGCACTCTCTCTAGCCCCATGGTCATATCCTCAGTGGGGCATGTATCCTAAATGAAGGCTGTTCTTATAAAAGAGGGAATTTGGGCACATATGTGCTCACAGACTGAGCAGTCCAAGAAGAGAAGCATCCAATACTGAGAGTTTGGCAGCCACCCCTGAGGGACCAGGAGAGAGGTTCTGAGAGGAGTGCATGTTCTGAGAGCTTTCACAAAGAACAGACTTAAAGCCGCATGGATCTTAGGTTTCTAGTCTCCAGACCAGAAGGCTATTCGGCTGCTGTGTGTTTTATGGGGTTGGCGTTGGGACCACGCCTGCTGCTTTGCAGTGCTTACCTCCAGCTTAGTCTCAGGCTTTCCCTGGTACCAAGGATTTATCCTGGCTTCTGCGTGTATGCACTAAGTCCTTGAGCCATCTCCCAGACTCGTTACAGACTGCTGGGCAGGAGCAATCGTACAATAGGGAAGGCTTCTTGCCTCGTATGCAGCTGATTTGGGTTCTATCCAAGGCACCACACATGGTCCCTGGAGCCTGACCAGAAGTGGTCCCTGAGCACAGAGCCAGGAGTTAACTCTGAGCTCCACTGGGTATGGCCCCCAAACAAAATAATAATTTTAAATTGATAATTTAAAAATTGGAGCTGGATGGACTGACACAGCAGATAGGGTGCTTGTCTTGAAACTGGGCTGACCTTGGCTCAACCCTTGGAACTGCACAGGGTCCCTGAACTTTTTGCGCAGCCTGGTGTAGCTCCAAAACAAAACAAAGAAAAGCACTGAGTAAGCAGGAATAGAATTTGATAAAGGGCATTTCTAAAACCCTCCCCTTAAAACTGGTAAATAACATCTGCCTTTGCCATTCCTATGTGACACTGTGCTGAATAATGTCCTAAAATTGATTAAATGTCTTAGAATCGATCGACAAAAAAAGACGGAGCACAAAAATGTAGCGGGCAGAAGCCAAGCATTCCCTGTGAAGGATAAATCTAAGATTTCTGGCCAGCAACTCCTGGGCTTAAGGTGACTCCTAGGCTCAATCTAGCAGGACTGCAGCAGAAACAGCCAGTATCCGAAAACCCATCCGTGCCTCTCTCTCTATCCATGTCCCTCCAGCTTGTCAGCCTGTGTGTGTGCGAGCAGGAGAGGTAACAACTCGGTTACAGTGACAGTTCCCGCTCTGGCCCTGAGTCCCGGGGATGCAACGGGCAAACTTGGCTCTCTCCCAGCACCGCCCCAGGCGCTTCCCTCAGCGTGGCCGCTGGGGGGCGCCAGAGCCGCTCGCTCTGCTCCGGCGCGGACGTCCCTCCCGCGCTTCCGGCACTCCGCTCCGCGCCTGCGCACAACTGCCCCTCAGGCGCCTGCCGACGCTCTCCCCGCCTCGTTAGCTTTCGCGCGTGCGCAGACTCTGTCCTCGACCCGCGGGTGCTCTCTGTGCGCGTGCACAGACGCGGCCTGCGGGTGTCCCTGCGCGTGCGCAAACGGTGTCCCCGCCCTCTGGTGCCCGCTTTGCGCGTGCGCAGGACCACGTCGCGGGGCGGGGCGGGACAGGGCGGGACTCTGCGGCGGGGGCGGGTCCTGTGGGGGGGCGCCCCCACATTCTTCTCCGGGGTGAAAGGTCGGCTATTTTGGCAACGAGCAGGGGGACGTGGCAGGCACACATGGCGGCCGGCGCCCCGTCCTCATTGGGCGGGGCGGAGACCCCAGCGTTGCGGTGCGCTCCCTGGGAACTCGGTTGTCGTTTGCGGGTCCGGGCCGGAGTTAGGGGGGTGCGGGCCGGGCACCGGGGCCGGGGAGGGACCAAGCCCAGAGGTCCCGGCGTGACGTGGCAGGGCCGGGAGGGACCAAGGCCCAGGGGTCTGCGCGTGACGTGGCCAGCCGGGAGGGGTGTGGGGAGGCCCAATAGCCCCGGGACCCGCAGGCACGTGGGGGTCGCGCCTGGAGCCGCGGCCCCAGCCCCGCCTGAGCAGGAACCGGGTCCGAATGCGCATTTTTGTACGTCGGCCAGATTGCCTCTTTTCTCTGAAAAGGCGGTGCTGGCGTTCGCGGCCGCGGGCTCTGACCCGGTCTCGGTGCCGGAGGGCCCGTGCCGGGGTTTCGTATCCCGAGACCTCCGGTATTTTCAAAAATAAAATACTGAGGCCGAAAGATTCTCCGACTCAGGTAGAAAATAGAAGTCTGGGCCGCAGTGATAGCACAGGGGGAAGGGCGTTTGCCTTGCACGCCGCCGATTCCCAGCATCCCATATGGTCCCCCGGGCACCGTCAGGAGTAATTTCTTGAGTGCAGAGCCAGGAGTGACTCAAAAAGCAAAAAAAAAAAAAAAATAGAAATCTGGGGCCCGAGTGACAGTGTAGCGGGGAAGGCACAGCCAGCCCGGGATCCTCACCCTCACCAGGAGATTCCTGCATGCAGAGTCAAAATTGGCGCCATTGCTGGGTGTAGCCCCCAAACAAGACCAAAATAAATAAAATGTTTATTGGATGGCAGGAAAAAAAGAAACTCCCCAGCCGGAGAGGAATTTAATCTAGAGCTACGCATGGCTGGTCGTGTGGGTTTATAGGAAACGGACTGGGTCTGAGGGTTCGTATGGGAGTCTTTGAAGACTCCGTTAGCTCCCCCGAGATTCTTGCTAATGTGGGCCCGTTTGTGATGGTGAGACTATCGTCTTCCATCCCACCTGGGCTGATGGCAACTGTATCCAAAGCCCTCTAGTTTCTGCTTCCACCATGTGCCATGGAGTGCCCCTTTATCCTGTCTCCCGTGAACCGGAGGTCCGGGGATTGTCGGCTTCCCAGGCTCAAAGGGCCCGGGCATTTGCAGAAATGCGGAGACTACAGTGGGGACAGTGACAGTGAAGCTGCCGGCAGCAGCTAACAAGGGGAATCTGAGGCTTTCTCTTCTCTGACTGTTGGAAATCAGGAATAACAAGGTGTTCACCCTGTCTTCTGCCCTTTTCCCTTTGCAGAAAAAGGAGAAGCTTCATTGTACTAGAAACGCAGGGAACGGGCTTGGGCTGGCCTTAGTGGTTTCCTCCAAGCCTCTCTCTGGGTTGGGGTCCTAAGGAACGCTCAGACCTCATAGCGGTGGGGGAAGCAACCGCGCAGAGCCTTCCTGCTGGGGGACGATCTCACCGTTGGTCTATAGAATAACTGGATGAGAAAATGTAATGTAGTGAAGGAGGGATGCCTAGATCACCCCACCCTGCCCCCAGAAAGGGCCGTGATTGAAAGAAACCAAGTGAAGTGGTGGGAGAGTGGGAAGTAGTGGGTGAACAGGCACCAGGGCTTCACTTGGACCAATGGTATGGAGAGTGGTGTATCCAGGACCCAAATTCAGACTCGGCTAGAACTGCAGTACAGTGGGTAGGGCCTTTGCCTTTATGTGGCTGACCCTGGTTTGATCTTTGACATCCCTGAGCACCAAGAGTAGTAGTAATCCTAAGTAGAAAGCTAGGAGTGACCCCTGAGCACTGCTGGGTGTGGCACACACA